ACCACTTGAGCCACAGCGCCACTTCCGGTTTTCTGGTGGTTTATTGGAGATAGGAGTCTCACAGTCTCTCCTGCCTGGGCTGGCTTTGAACCGCGGTCCTCAGATCTCAGCCTCCTGAGTAGCTAGGATTACAGGCGTGAGCCACCAGCGCCTGGCAGAGTGAGGGTTTTGTGTAATAGTAATCCTGAGATTTCTGTGTTGGAGCCCTCCCCCCCCACGCACACACTCTAAGAAAGGCTGTGTTAGAACTCTAGTCCATTCCTCGTGTCTTTCCTGTGTCCCACGTACCTCCTTCCCCCTCCCTCAGGAGCGGCGCGGCTGCGCTCCGCACTCTGCATGTTTGTTCCTGTTCTTCCCAGGCAGCACAAGCACACAGATGCGGTGCTCTCCTCCTGCAGTCTGTGCATGGGAATGAGCGCCCATTACCAGTCAATTCTGCATATTTAAAAAGGAGCTGCAGAAGTGGCGCTGTGGCTCAGCGTGGCGGTAGAAGCGCTAGCCTCCGGGACAGACGACACCCAGGCCCACAGTTCAAGCCCCAGAGCTGAACGCCCCAAAAAGAAGCTGCAGATATGCAAGAACGTCTTTAGTCCTGCTTTAGCATTTGTGTACCTGTAGTGACTGGATATTTCTGGAGTTTTCATCTTTGAAATAGATTTCATCGCACTGGAACTCTAACCGTTAAAATTGAACGTTTCATTCAAATTGATTTCCAGGTCTTTGAGGAAACTGGTTTTGATATCAAGGAGTATATCTGTAAGGATGACTACATTGAGCTGCGCATCAATGACCAGCTCGCTCGCTTGTACATCATTCCAGGGGTCCCCAAGGACACGAAGTTTAACCCCAAAACAAGAAGAGAGATTCGTGTATGTAACCGTTGAGCGCCTTCATCCCTGGTGAGTGAAGTGGGAAATGCCTTTAAGAACTTGATAATCATTAAACGATCTTTTCCCTTTTTCTTTCTGTGTTTCAGAACATTGAATGGTTTTCCATTGAGAAATTGCCCTGTCATAGAAATGATATGACTCCAAAATCCAAACTTGGATTGGCACCTAACAAATTTTTTATGGCCATTCCCTTTATCAGGTACGCTGAGCTTTCCTCCCCCTTTCCCACTCTCCTTCCCTCCCGTTTTCTTCTTTCCTTTTGCTGCTGCTGTTTCGGACTTTTTCCTCTTAAGTGCATCCCCTTTATGTTTTTCTGTTACCAGTGCTGCCGTGGCTAAGCCTTCAAGTACTCTAAGGACAGAAAGAGTCTTGCTCTGACTCGAGAGGCAACGATTGCCGGTTTCCCCATTCAATAACACTGCTGGCTATAACTTCTCTATGTAGATATTACTTGACATACAAAGCCGCCTTTCATAGATCTGAGACTGCAGGTGTTAAAGATGAATTTTTAATACTTTCACAGACCTCTAAGGGACTGGCTTTCTCGAAGATTCGGGGACTCCTCAGACAGCGACAATGGCTTTTCCTCAGCTGGAAGCACCCCAGCTAAACCCACCGTGGAGAAGTTGAGGTACAGAAATGCATTCACAGAATTCTGACTTTATCGTGACTTGTACTGCAGTGCTATTTGCTTCTAAAGTTCGCAGAGGTATAGATTCCTTTTTGGAGGTGCTTTTTCTTAACCAGTCTCGTGGAAGACTGTTTTCAAAGATTTTAGATGAGAACAGGTAGCTTGAGCTCCGCACACACTTTTAAAACAATCGAGAGGATGCCGGCAGTTTAGGAGAGAGGGCTTCCTGGAGTCGCTCTGTTCTGCGTCCTCCCTCAGAGGTGATGGTGTCAGGTATGAGGCGGGGTGTGCTGAGCTCTGGTTGTACAGGAGAGGCCAGGGCACTGATTAATGATTACAGCTTCCCACAGAACTGTGAAGACTTGGTTTGCATTTTTGCTTACGTCCCTGCCATCGGCTATGATTATGAGGTGTGTTTGTGACATGGGTGTGAACTCAAGCTCATGCACCCAAATCACAATTACACAGACAGGGAAAGTCACGTAAACAGGCGTGTGTTTCCAATTGGCTTACCACCACGTAGCCTTTGATAGGATCAAGAACTGTTTTTCACATTTTCTCTAAAATGGACGGGCAACGTTTCCCATAGTGCTTCAACAATTAAGCAGTAGGGACAAGCCATAATCACGGCTAGCGGTTTAAAAATGGCTACTATTCTGTTCTACTTAGGTTTTATGAGAACAAGAGCTTAAGAGTCTATTTTTCCTTCGGTAATAATGTCAAAGTGTCGAAGCCATAAGGCAGACAGGAATGTAGCCAAGGTTAAAAAGAAAGACGCTATCACAAAGTTCTGAAATAGGGGTTTAGAAAAGAACAATTTCAGAAATGATCATTATTCGGGGAATCTGCCAGGGTAGGGTTGTGTTCTGCCCCAGCGGTACAGCCCTGTGAAGGCGGCCCTCCACTTCTGACTGCAGGTAGACATGGAGGGGACCTTAGGATATTACCATGCAGCCACAGCCACAAGGTGTTAGCAGAAGCGTTTCAATTATTGTCTAAAGGGATAAAAAGGCTGAGATTTTTGTTAGGTTTTCAGTGAAATAGTGAAGAATTCTTTTTTTTTTACCAGTCCTGGGCCTTGAACTCAGGGCTTAGGCGCTGTCCAGAGCCTCTCTGTGCTCAAGACTAGCGCTCTACCACTTGAGCCACAGCAACACTTCTAAGCTTTTTCTGTGTATGTGATGCTGAGGACTTGAACCCAGGGCTTCATGCATGTGAGGCAAGCTCTCTACCACTTAGACACATTCCCAGCCCTGAAGAACTCTTAATGTGTTTTGGAAAGCTACTACTCTTTTGTGGTCTTGGTATTTGTGACTCGACACACGCATGTGTGCCATCCTGTGTGGCAAGATCACTAAAGTTAAGTGTATGCTATACTGTGTAACTAATATGTGTAGGGTTAAGTTCCATACTAGAAACGTTTCAGTAAGAATATAAGTTGTGTCCAATTAAGAAAAAAAGCTATTAGGCAGGTGGTACATGTCTGTAATCCCAGCTACTCAGGGAGAGCATATTGGGAAAGATCGAAGTTCAAGACTAGCCCAGGCAAAAAGTTCTTGAGACCTCACCTCAACCAATAAAAGTCACCCACAGTGGCTCATGTCTGCACTCCTAACTGTATGAAAAGTATCAGGAGACCTACAGGCCAGCCCAGCCTGGCTAGCCATGTGAGACCTGAATTGAAAAATCAAAAAAGACTCGAGAGGCAGAGTGTTTGCTTAGCAAGGGTGAGCCCCGAGTTCAAACCCGCTATTGGAAAATTTAAAAATTTAGAAAAGTCTAGTTAAAAGACAAATAGAAGATTAAATATTCAAGAGATGGTTACAAAGCCAGGTGCTGGTGGCTCATGCCTGTAATCTTAGCTACTCAGCAGGCTAAGATCTGAGGATTGTGGTTGGAAGCCAGCCCAGGCAGGAAAGTCCATGAGACTCATCTCCAATAAACCACCAGAAAACTGGTATGCTATGGCTCAAGTGGTACAGCGCTCACCGTGAGCTGAAGAGCTCAGCGACAGCACCCCTAGGCCCAGACAACTTTCTCATCTGACTTGTGCTTCTTAAATCCTGGTGTAGTCGAACCAAATTCCGCCACAGTCAGCAGCTGTTCCCCGAAGGATCTCCCGGTGACCAGTGGGGGAAGCACAGGCAGCCGCAGAAGCCGGGCGGCGGCCACGAAGCGTCCGACCTTCTCAAAGCCAAGGTGCGTGTTCACGCGTGCCACTCACTCCCGAGTGAGGAGTGGCACGGCGGTCGCTGACAGAACTCGTGTGCATGGCTAAGTGAGCTCTCGAGCAAAGCCTCCAGTGTTCAGATGTGATCTGAAGCTGACCTTGATGGGAATCTTATGAGACAAATGGCGTAAACTGACACACGTTACCAAGGGAGAACACGCTAGGAACAGTTTTTGAGTTAGAATTATTCCATCTGCTTACTAATATTTTTGTCTTTTTGTTTTTGTCTTCCAAGTGGTAATCATTTTTTAAAAAAACATACACACTGAATTGCTCAAAGTCAAGAAAGTGGGGAAAAAAACGCACAAGATGAGAGGAAGTATACGCCAGTCGTGTATCTGGTAAAGGATTAATATCCAGAGATAAGTATGTGTACATATGTATAGATATCTACACAAAAGCTATAGTAAGTGACAGTCGTACAAAACAGCCCAACCCTGTTTGAAAGAGAGCAGACAACTTGATTAGAAAACTCTCAGAGGAAGGTATTCAGGGGGTCCATAGGAACAGAAAGATGGCCCACGTTCCCATTTGGGAAATACAAGACAGCATTAGAGTAAAATGCCTCCTACAAATTAGAGTCGCTCTGGTAGTAATAGAACCCGCATGAAGAAAGTGACCAGTGTTGGTAAGAGCAGGAAGAATTGGAGCCCTTTGCATTACCAGTGGGAAAGTGAACAGTCTGGCTAGGGAAAACAGCTGGTGGTCTCTCAGCCAGTTAAATGTGGTTACCAGGTGACTCGGTCTTCCCACGCTTAGGTGTGTAAACAAAAGAATTAAAAGCAGGGCCCTAAACAGATACGCACAGCAGGACAGATCCTGCCAGCTAGAGAGTTGAGCACACAGAACAGAAGTTGAGGCTGGAGGAGGAGGAGGGAGTTGTGTTGTGTTGTGGGTGCGGAGCTTCTGTCTAGGGCGGAGCTCTGTGGGCTCATGCTTATCCTGTGCAAGGTAAAGTATTTGACCCTAGCACCGCCAAAACAGTTTGGAAGGGCCTGGTGATGACAGTTGTTGTTAAAATTGTATTAGGTGCCACTGGAATATATATAAAGTCGGTTCCATGGTGAATTTTGTGTGTGTTACACGACAGTGTAACAGGAAAACCAGACAGCTGCCGGCGTGAACCTGTGTGGTAGCAGGACGCGGCAGGCTCTGGCACCCATTTTTCCTGTCGTTACTTGGGGTCTGTTACTGTTTTCACCTGTCTTAGTAGCTGCTTGGTTTTTTTCCCGTAGGTAGGCGGAATGTAACTGTGAAATTTTCATTTGTCATTTTCATTTATCATATATATGTACCTATAGTTGGCTGAGTCACCCCATTTTAGTTAGTCCCATTAAATAGTCATCCTTTCAAGGTAAAGGAAAATGAAGTGTTTTAAAAGTTGCTGTTTGGCTGGATGCCAGTGGTCCACCTGAGATTGGAGGGTCCACGAGACTCATCTTGAATTACTATTAAAAAAAACCCCAAAACTAGAAGTAGAACTATGGTTCTAGTAGATTCACCTTTACCTAAGAGATAGCACTCAACAAAAAACAAAAAACACTCAAAAGTTCAAAAGGCCCAACCTGACCATTTAGTGGAAGATTATTCACTTAAGAACCCTTGATTAAGGGCTGGGAAGGTGGCTCAGTGGTAGAGCGCTTGCCTTGCATGCCTGAGGCCTGGGTTCGATTCCTCAGCACCACATAAGCAAAAAGGAAAAAGCCGGAAGTGGGGCTGTGGCTCAAGTGGTAGAGCGCTAGCCTTGAGCTGAAGAGCTGAGGGACAGTGCCCAGGCCCAGAGTTCAGGCCCCACGACCGGACCCAAAAAAAAAGAAAAATACGTGGATGTGGAGTTAGGAGTGTCTGCCGCTGCTCAGCTCTGGGGTTAAGCAGCTGTAAACACAGGCGTAGAGATTCTTGTGTATAACAACATTGTGCCACAGACTCACATTTTACTTCTTTTTACTGGAAAAACAGAATCAGAATTTGAGGGGAAATGGCAGGAAGCAGTATCAAGACTCGCCTAATCAAAAGAAAAGAACAAATGGAATCCACAGTCAACCAGCAAAGCAACAGAATCCCTTGATGGTAAGCGTTCAGCGCTTTTCCCATAGGCGGACGCTGCGGGGTCGCGGTGCGTGGGTGTGACACACTTGGTTCTTACTCTCATTCATGCATCTGCAGGGCTTCTTAGGTCCAGATTGTGTACGGTTGTGTTCATGTACCCAAAAATCCGGCTACTCTGAATTACAGACTGACTTATGACATTGGTTTAGGTATATATCTAAGCAACTCCTTAGGTACTTTTTGTTTGTTTGTTTGTATTAGTTGTGTTTGTATTGGTAGTGTTTGTTTGTATTGATCGTGGAGCTTGAACTCCGGGCTTGGGTGCTGTCCCTGCGCTCTTCAGCTCAAAGCGAGAGCACTATTGCGTGAGCCACAGCGCAACTTCCAATTTTCTGGTGGTTTATTGGAGATAAGAGTCTCACAGCCTTTCCTGCCCGGGCTGCCTTTGAATCGTGATCCTCAGATCTCAGCCTCCTGAGTAGCTAGGATGACAGGCGTGAGCCACCAGCTTAGGTAGTTTTTTGTCTTTTTTTTTTTTTTCTCGTACAGTAATCCATTATGTAAGATTCCTACTAGGGTAACTCTACTCCTCCCCCCCCCCCCTTGGTTCTGAGGCTTGAACTCAGGGCCTTTGCTCTGTCCCTGAGCCTCCCTGTGCTTAAGCTAGCGCTCTACCACTTGAGCCATGGCACCACTTCAGGCTTTTTCTGTGTATGTGGTGCTGAGGAATTGAATCCAGGGCTTCATGCATGCGAGGCAAGCGCTCTACCACTAAGCCACATTCCCAGTCCTGTAACTTTGTAATTGCTGTCTAAGTTAGTAACTTCTCATGCCCTTGCTTGCCTGTACTGTGGGGTTTCTTTTTGTCATTTATTTAAAAAGTGGTGATGTCAAATATTGAGCAAAGTATTTTCACCCAAATTCCCTGAATGTAGCTTATTTACAACTTGGCTATCATGATTCCACCAGTAAACATGTTACAGTTACTTCAGACTTTGCATTTTTATTTACTCGGCTCTGAGAAAGGATTGGCAGGAGCGAGCAGATGATCATAATGAACAGGCTTCAATAAGATGCAGCAAGTGCTTCCTTAATGACCGTACACATCTCCAATTAATCTAGAATGTAGTCATTCAAAATTCCTGTGGGATTTTTTTTTAGATATTTCACAAGTTACTCTCAAAGTTGTGTAGAAAAACTTGAATTTTTTGTCTTAATAAAATGATAGTGAAGTATGAACAGTTTGTAAGAGAAGAAATACAAGTTTCTAAGTATAAACATATAAAAGTATTGAACTCTGCTCCATGAATGTAAACACTGGTGCAGTGATCTTTCCCCATCACAGACAAATATAAACACCAGTAATTCCAAGTTGCATATTATTGAGTATATTAGCAAATCGTAAATACTAGTAAAGTGAACAGCTTGTCTAGAAAAGTGTTGGGCTGAATGAAAGGCCTGGAATTCTCGTTGCAATTATGAAAATACAGAGAAGCTGCACGTCTGTGCAGGGTGCTGTATTAGTAGAGGACCATTAAGTCAGCAGAAGTGAGGTGGACGCGTATTCCCAGCTACTTGGGAAGGCAAAAACGAGACTGTCTTGAAAAATAGTGTGAGTACAAAGCCTGGCATGTGTCTCCACGTCAGTAGAGCCCTTAAGTAGCAAACCAGGAACCCCTGGGGTCAGTCCCCAGTACTGCCCCAAACAACAGCAACACAAGAAAGAAGACAACGCAGATTGGTATTGATTAGAACATGGTTTTGTTTTACAGGTTTCTAGAACTGCCTTGGATGTAACCCAGGGACAGGAACAGGTCTCCTCCCCCCCCCCCCCCAATGAGGCCCCACGGAGGGTCATACAACAGTATCGGTATACTCTAATTAGTTCCCTTCAGAGTTAACTATATAAAAATGCATTTATCCGTGCCTTCCTGAGATAAAAGCTGGAAAGCTGTAGCTGAAATAGTGCTATTTCTGGGTTGAGTTGTAGGATATATATTTTTCTTTGTCTGGTGTCTTCATAGGGTATTTGTAACCAGAATTAAAGTAAGTTTTAGGCTTAAAAAAAAGACTCAGAATGGGGATGGTGATTGGATTGCTGGTTTAATTTTCTTCGAGAGAGGTTTGATTATATGTATTTCCTGATTGTGTGTATGTGTGTGCATGCGTGTGTTTGTGTGTGTGCACACACCAGTACTAGGGCTTGAACTCAAGTTAGGCGCGTCCCTGAGCTCTTCTGCTCAAGACTAGCGCTCTCATACTTGGGGCCACAGTGCCACTTCCAGTTCACGTGGTTAGTTAGAGATGAGAGTCTGATGGACTTTCCTGCCCAGGCTGGCTTTGAACTGCAATCCTCAGATCTCAGCCTCCTGAGTAGCTAGGATGACTGGCGTGAGCCACCAGAGTCTGGTGCTCCTGATTTTTAATAAGTAAAAAATAACTGGTAACTACTCTTGTGTGTGTTTTGTGTTTCTTAATAGAAATGTGAAAAGAAACTGCACCCACGAAAGCTTCAGGACAACTTTGAAACAGGCAAGTCCTTTGCTGTTTTTTAAGAACATGGGGTGGGGTTTGGTTCTCCTGAGGTGAGGTTTCAGCCGGGGGCCTGCGGGCTGCTGCCTGCTGAGCGGGCGTGTGGGGCGTGCGGGTGTGCAGTGTGTGTGGCGTGAGTGCTGCAGGGAGGCCGGGTCAGCGTGCTGGTGCTGTGTGCTGGGCCCAAGCCCTGCGCGAGCCCTCTGACAGTGCTGGGGGTTGGTGGAGAGGAGAGAGACCCGGGTGTTCAGTTGGATGTAGTCTTCTCTCAGTTGTTTTGGGGTTTGGTGTATCATCCACAGAAAGGTTCCTCTGTGGGTTCAGTTTCCCTGTAGGCCACTTCAGGTCGCTGTTGGGTGTGGTGCGGGGTGCGGTTTGGGGACCTGCGGGGGGGAGAGGCATGGTCTATTTTGGTTTAGACTACACTCGGTACACATGGGCTGGAGGGGCTGCACTGTCCCCTTTCAGGGTCCAGTTTCTTCTGCACGTTGCTGCTCAGTTTTCCTGGCGCTTTTCTTGAAGCGTCTTACCCTTCATTTAGCGTCTGCACAGCCATCACATAGCACAGCACAGAGCCCCGAGTTCCACCCCCGCCATCGCTAGCACAGCAAGAGTTCACCACAGCGAAGCTGGGAGAGAAGTCCTTTTAGTAGCATTTTTTGGGGACCACCTCGGTGATAGAAAATGGGCTCGGCTGTTAATTTAACTCTTAACATCTATTCAGAAGTCAGTTAACAGAACCTTAAAAAAAACACAAAACATGTTCAAGAACATTACAGAAGGTTATTAGTTGGGTGTGGAATGGATATACAAAACATGTAGAATAAAGTACCAAAGGATTCTTGTCTTGAGAATCCTGCTTGAGTCAGCTGGGCCCTGGCTGAGGGAAGGGAAGCCACGCTGGTGGATCTCCTCTGGTTTCCTGTGGACAGGGACGGGCGCATCTGTGTCTGCGCGGTTTCTTTCTGTGCAAGGGCCGGGGCAGCGTGGCATTTCCACTGAGCTTTCGGACTGATGTTTGTCATTTTTCTGAGCAGATGCTGCGTCCGACCTCCCCGGTTCCGGTGAGGAGGCGGTGCCGGACCGCGCCGAGGGGCCATCGGTGGCGTGTAACGGCCACTGCCGGCCCTCGTTCTCATCCAGAGCCTTCCTGAGTTTTAAGTTTGACCAAAACGCCATCATGAGGATCTTGGACCTTTGACAGCAGTGGGGGGCGCTGTGAGTCCCGAGATGCTGGAGAGGCCTGCTGCGTCCCCCCAGCCTTCCCTTCCCCGGTGCCGAGTGCGAGCCGGAGGCCGTGCTGCTGGAGAGCTCTGGGCAGGAGAGGAGGCCGAGGGTGCGGCGACCGCCCTGCAGATGCGGTTAGAGCTGCAGCTGCACATTGACCTCTGCAGCACTTGGAGCCAAGGTTTCGGTTGCTTTGTTTTCTTCTGAGGACATTTCCCGTGTGACTGGGCTGTGTTTTGTCTCCGGGTCAGGAGCGTGGTGTTTGGCTTTACCACAAGCAGCCAAGTGGATGGGAATGTGTCGCGCTGCGCTGGAGCGCTGCAGAGCGACTTCAAACGTGCTGTGCTGAGCTGCGCACGGGCCTCCTGGCGCGGTCGCGGGCCTCTGTTTGGGTGCCTTTTGCTCATTTCTCTGCCTCAGCACGCTGGGCCCTTGTCGTGGAGTTTTATGGAAGATGGTAGAGCCGGCATCTACGAAGCGGCACTCCTGTGCAGTGAACTCTGGGCCCTTCGCAAGGACTGCGTCCAGGGCACCGCTGGAGGGCTTGGCAGTCTGCGCAGAGTGCAGCGTGCGGGCCCGCTACGTGGTGATGCGCTTACCATCCGCCTCCCGCCGCCGTAGCATTGTGCAGTGATGCTGCGCGTGTGAACTTTCCTAGTCCATTGGTGTAAATATGTCACTAGTTTTACCGTGCATCTCAGTGTTGATTTTATACTGATGGTAGAGTAGCAGAGCGTGAAGTGAAGCACGGGGGGGGAGGTCCAGCTCTGGGAGGAACGCGGGTAACGGCTAGCAATGTATTTTGCTCCTTCGAGATTCTTAACTCCAGATAACACCCAAAGTTGACAGTCAGCAGAGCTTTAAGGAAGCAATACTGTTTGGGCTGCGTCTGACCTCACTAGAGTTACTGGGGGGGGGGGTTTGCATGTCTTACATCCTGTGGGATTTCATAGTCGTTTTACGAGTGGTATCCACAGAAGGTATGTCTGCTCGTGAACGTGGAAGCCTGAGTTCTGTGTAAGTGGCATGTTTGGTAGGGCTCCGCCATACCCCTGCGGGCTTTCAGAAGAAGGGCTGTTGTAAAGAGTTCATTTGGTATTACTTCTTTGTTTTAGCTTTTTTTTTTTTTCTTTTTGAATTTTAAAGGAGCAATCATATTTATTCATGAGAATGTCACTTGGTGCTGAGCAGGAAAATCACAATGATATTGGTGTGGAATTAGCTTCTCCAGCATCCTGCGTCTTTTAATGTGACTTCGTCTGTGAATCCTGTGAGCTAGCTTTACGATGTGTTACACGATTGCACTGCAAGCCCTTACCCTCCTTCCAGAAACCCGTGTCTCCTCGAGCTCTCTTTACAGTCGGTCCCAGCATTCCAGATTTCTGCTAAATGGTTAAGGGAGCGGAAACTTCATGTACCTGCAGACGAATCCTTTTCACTTGTTTACTGTATCTGGAAACCAATGAATGTTTCCTATGTGTGTGTGTGATGTTTCTCTTTGTAAGTCAGCCTTGCTGGTGCTTGTAGTTAAGCTTTTCACCTCTCCTGACTCACGCACGGCGATGTAGGGTTAGTAACCAGAACCAGGGCTGCTAACGCTGTTGACATTTTGAAGCTCCAACAAATGAGCTCTCGAATGCCAGCAGCATTTGCTGACACGCTGCTTTAACGCCCGTGGGACAGATCCAGGGTGTGCATCGGCCTGTGGTGTGGCAGCACGAGACTTCTCCGGTGATGGTTTGAGTTTGTGGTGGGACTTAACCCCGCAGACAGCGTGAGCCGGCGACGGGCCTGTGTTAAGTGCACCTGTTGTACTTTCTTCTCGGCGTTCCGGTACCTAGGAGCCGCTGCGTGCTTTTTCCTGAGACACGGGGACGTGATGTGAGCTGGTTCCTTCCTGCTTGAGAAAGCGGGATTTTAAGAAGCAAGATGGCACACCGCAGGTTAGGTTGGCTTCCTTGTGCTTTGTTTGCATTCACACACCACGTACGTTCCAGGGTGCAGTGCACTGTGAATCTTTTCTTTATTGTGTGTGCAGGTCCTGGGGCTTGAACTCAGGGCCTGGATGCTGTCCTGGAGCTTTTTTGCTCAAGGCAAGCACTCTACCAATTCTGCTCCCCCCCCTTTTTTTGTGGTGGTTAATTGGAGGTGGACTTTGCTGCCTGTTCTGGCCTCGAGCTGGGATCCTCAGATCTCAGCCTCCTGAGTAAGATAGGAATTACAGGTGTGAGCCACCGCCACCCAGCTCAATCTTTTATTTTTAAAGGAAAATTGTAGGTGCTTTTAAGTGTACCTTTAATGATTTGTACAATGTTTAAGGAATTGTTCCGTACTTAACCATTGTAATCCAAGAGATAAGGGTACAGTTTACACACCTTCTGTGAGTTTTTGTTTAGATGTAGCTGGTTAGTGATTATAGGATTTTAAATAGTGAGTGCATGTCTGAGAGGCAGAGAGCTGTTGTGCTTTTTTGTTGTTGTTGTTTTCTTTTTTTGCCAGTCCTGGGGCTTAAACTCGGGCCTGGGTGCTATCCCTGAGCTTTTTTACTCAAGGCTAGTGCTGTACCCCTTGAGCTAACAGGCTCCAATTCCAGCTTTTTGGTGGTTATCTGGAGAGGAATCTCATGGACTTTCCTGCCTGGACTTGGCCTTGAACCTTGATCCTCTGTTCTCAGTCTCCTGAGTAGCTGGGATTACAGGTGGTGCCTGGCCCACTGGTAGTTTTTCTGCCTGCATGGGTGTAATTGGGTTTAAACGTGTTGGAAAATTAAATTTGATTTTTGTACTAATATATAGTGGCTAACTCTCCCAAGGCTGCCAAGGGAGTTGTGGCCACTGCTTGCTGTTTTGCGCTTTGAATATCATTATTTTTATATTGAATATCAATTAGTAAATGCAGATAATGAAGATATTTAGCAGATTAATTTTATTTTGTAAGATTGGTTTGTACCGTTTCTTTTTGAAGGTGTTAGCAATATGTAATGTCGCAAAGATGAAATCTGAAGTCTGACGGGAGTTGTGTGCATTGAAATCATTTTATTCTCTCTCCTCCCTCCCTTTTATTTCTATCTTCAACATTTAAATAGTATGAAAGCAAAATCCATGAAAAATGAGACTTACCAAGTTGTTTTCCTTGACTTTTTGTCTTTATTCTTGAACCAATTCATCTCTAAGAGATCACATTTCCTTGACCTCTTGTGGAGTCTTCAGATTCTCTTAGGCAGCGTTTCCTTCAGTGTTAATCATAGTTGTATTCATCATCCTTCCTCCTGGTGGTTTTGCTTTATTTTCCAGCCTGTGAGAAGAGACTCTTATGTTTCATTGTAACTTTAAATTCATGTTAAGTAAATGGAGCTATGAGTTTTATTTGGAAGTATCCTTTTATGTGCCTGGGTAAACAATGTTAGCAAAACAAAAGTTCTCTTAAACCTTTTTCCTGGTAGCTTAGTAAAGTCTGTGTGTTGTTCATCCTGTGACTTTCAAGAACATTTGCAGTTTCCCAAGATTCTAGCGTCTTAGAGGAAGATCACTCAGGGTGCGTCTTAGAGGAAGATCACTCAGGGTGCGTGCATTTGTGCTCAGTGATGTTTCGTGTAAGGGAGTTTGCACCCAGCATGAGATAGGGTTCTGTGGTTGGGAAAGGGAAGCGGCTGCCCGGCGCCTGGGCGCGGTGGCGTGGAGTTGAAGGACTGGCTTCTGCTCAGACAGACGGATGTACAGGCAAGCGGGCCCGGCATCATGCCGTAGATGCTCATAATGGACCCCAGTCCTCAGGCCAAACGAAGAGTCGTCTCCTGAGACAGCAGAGTGGGAGCTGTCTATGGTGGTGCCTAAAAGCCCAGCCTAAAGGAATGATCACCTTCCCAGAGGGTGAGGGTGTGTGTGTGTGTGTGTGTGTGTGTGTGTGTGTGTCACTTTCCTCCCAGGAAACTTAGAAGTATTTGTTGCAGGCAGTTACATAGTTGAGTGGGTTTTGTTGGCTTTTGGCTCATCTGTTCTTGGAGCCATTTGTGAAAACTTGTTTATCCTTGGTGTTGGTGTGGCTGGCTAAGAGGCTGCCATTTGTTCTCTCCCCCCCGCCCCCCCATGATCTGTCCCCCTATGAAATAATCTTTGTTTGGCGAGTCTGCCCACTGCTGTGAACAGTTGTGTGATTACACTTTGCTTTGTGGAGAAGATGTCACTTTGGCGTGGCCACAGGTGGACAGCGGGCGCTCGCTCCTGAGCCGCGGTCGCGCTGCGCCCCCGGATGAGAGGGCACTGTGCTCTGCCCATCTTTGAGTCTCGGGCAGTCTTGTTTGGAAGGTGGATTTGTCAGTGCAAGGTAACGTTTCTCCTTCTGATCTCTTGGGTCTAATAGTCTACACAGCGTATCCCTAACCACAAACCACGGTGGTGAAGCATTCAGGACCCAGCCTACAAGGTTGTTTTGTTTTGTTTCTTTGCCAGTCCTGGGCCTTAAACTCAGGGCCTGGGCACTGTCCCTGAGGCTCTCTGTGCTCAAGGCTAGCACTCTAGCGCTTGAGCCACAGCACCACTTCCAGCTTTTTCTGTGTATGTGGTCCTGAGGAATCTAACCCAGGGCTTCATTCCTGCTCGACAAGCACTCTACCACTGAGCCACCTTCCCAGCCCCAATCCTATCATCTCAAGCTTTTTTTTTTTTGGTCCGGTCGTGGGGCCTGAATTCTGGGCCTGGGCGCTGTCCCTCAGCTCTTCAGCTCAAGGCTAGCGCTCTACCACTTGAGCCACAGCGCCACTTCCGGCTTTTTTCTTTTTTCTTTTTTTTGCTTTTGTGGTGCTGAGGAATCGAACCCAGGGCCTCAGGCATGCAAGGCAAGCGCTCTGCCACTGAGCCACCTTCCCAGCCCTATCATCTCAAGCTTTTTTTTTTTTTTT